CCGCCTATAGAAACACGGGCTCAGGTCTCTAGTTTCTAAAACTGAAAACCGCACCTCTCTATCTATTACCTATCAAAAGTTATTCAAAAAGCAACCAGTGCTCTTGTATTTTGGAACGGATAGTAGTGCCCTAATGAAAGACTCGTTGACCCTAACGTGAAAAGCTAGAGATTTAGTTATAGTTAAGTGTTTTTAGTAGATAAAACGCTTTAACTATAAGAAAAAGTGTTTAATGCTTGCTTGTTAAATATTGTTGTGGTGCAATAGAGGGAAATTTTGTTGCATAATATGGCTATATAATTAATATAGCTTCTATTATATACACATATTAAGAGATCAAGAAGTTACCTGATGAGTTGTATTTTTAAATAAAACGAAACCTTTCGCAACAAAATTTCTCCCTATTGCACCATAATAATATTTAACAATAAAAAACAATATAAAATCTCTGGCTTTTCACATGGAGTTCAAAGCGTCTTTCATTAAGGCACTAGTTCTTCCATCTCTCTATCTCTGTTAATAGCAACTAGAAATGTGTTCAATAACAATTTTTAATTGTTATTCTAATCGAATTTGCCAATTGCGACAGTTTTTTTGTTCTATAACGCGATCTCAACATGTGTTCAACGTTTGTATAACTTGCATATATAAACGTCATTATCGTCAACATGACAGAAAAGTGCTTAGCAGAGTTTAAACGAAGTTGAACTTTGCCGAAGTTGTCCATCTTGTTACTGCAGACGACATATAAATTGTTTTTTTGAAACATTTTAAACTGTTTGTAAAACGTGACAGTCTATGCTCATTGTTGTTCTATTCTTTTTCCTACTTTCTTCTTTTACAACGATCCATATATACACGTGAAGTTTTGTTTTTCACAAAGTACATGTGAGATTCTCTCTCTCTTGAATTATCTTATAGAAATTATTTTAGGAAAAAAGACCAAAAGTTTATGTCTATAGTTGTAAAAACGTCACGAATGAGCAGCAATAAACTGTAAGTGAAAGAATTTGAAAAAATCGGTTTTGAATATTAACTATTTACAAATCACTCAATCATGTTGTGGAACTAGTTTACAGAGAATTTGGCTAAAATAAATACAGATAGCAGCGATTTATCAACAAAATTTTTCTTAGGAAATGATCATTATAATATAAGTACTTTTTATAGTTCAAAGAGGAGCAATGTTCTTTCTGTTTTGCGAAACATACGTTAACAAATGAAACCTATCTAAATAAAATTTTCAGTTTAACTTTCTCTCACGATTAGATTTAACAACACGATCTAACAGGATGTAATAAGTTTCTTGTTGAAATCTTTCTTCAAGATACTGTAGAATCATTCAAGATTGTCTTATTACAAAATCTTAAAAGCTCTTATGATATATAAAAGCAAGATTTTTCCAGAGAGATCTTTTGAAATTATAGAAAATCTGACTTGAATTTGTAAGAATCATGTCTCAAAATTGCATTATCTAAATTGCTTTGAAAATCTCATTTTGGGTTTAGTCCGAATACGAGTGCTTGGATCCGTCAACATCAGTTAGGAGCAGGTATGAACAAATTATTCATGCATACAAGAAAAAGACATAAAGACTCATTCTTCTCTATATCTCCCTCTCTCTCTCTATAAGGTACGTTTGGTAGTGTAGCAAAAGTTATTAATCATGAAACACAACAGATTACTGCTGTCAAATATATTCGACCAAATAAAAACTATGAAGAAGATGGTGAAATACCATCGACAGCTGTTCGCGAAGTTCATATTCTCAAAGAATTAAATCATCCAAATATAATACGGTTAGTAATTCTTGATTTTGGTAAAAAAAAAAAAAAAAGTTGATTTCATTGTTTGATTTACAGTTTGCTCTATGTCGATTTTAATCCGGATGATGATAATATCTTGTTGTATTTGGAGTGTATGGTGATCGATTTGAAACGGTATATAAATGCATTAAACCATGAAGAGGTTATGAGTGGAGAATTAATTAGGGCGAGTATTTTTCGGACTGAAATATGACTGATAAAATTAGCTCTGTTTTTTACAGAGTTATACGTATCAATTATTATCAGGCATAGAATATATACATAGTCGACGAATTGTAAGTAAATGACTATTAGCTGTATTCTTTTAAACGAAGTCATTTCTTTTGTTTTAGCTTCATCGTGATCTTAAACCACATAATATTTTAATCGACTATGCAGGAATCTTGAAATTAGCAGATTTTGGTTTAGCCCGATATTATCATACAACTGATAGAACGTTGACACATGAGGTATTTGGTTTTATTTATCATAGAATGTTTATTGATTTCTTTTCTTTTTTTTTCATTACAGGTTGCAACACTGAGGTATCGAGCTCCTGAAGTGCTGTTGAACGCTCCAACATACAGTATGAATTCGATAGTATTGTTAATATTACGAGTTAGCTATTCTATATTGTAGGCATGGCTATTGATGTGTGGTCATTCGGTTGTATATTTGCTGAAATGTGCACAAAAAAAGCATTGTTTTTCGGTGAAAGTGAAATCGAACAACTCTATAAAATTTTTCAGTAAGATAACGATGGTTTGATTCAATCATCGGTGTTCAGATACTTTTTTTTTATCTGTAGATTATTGGGTACGCCAACAGTGGAATTATGGTCTGAACTATCTGAATGTTTGTATTATCAAACACTATTTCCAAAGTGGACGGAAAATAAATTAGGTTTTGAAATGCCAAAACTGAACATGACTGATTCACAAATTAATTTTTTGAAAGTAAATTGAACTGAATTATAGATTGACTGTTAACAACTTATATTTTCTTATTTTCTAAAGGTAATATTGATCTATTCTCCAAAACGTCGTCCAATGGCGAATCAATTGCTTAAACATCCCTATTTCACGTATCCAATGTGTGTTGAAAAAGAAATTAGACCAAATGCCACTGTGATTGATCGAGCAATTAGAGAACAACAAAGAAAAATGATCAATGCTTAGACTAAGATTGACACTATACGTCGTTTTTTCTAGTGCTTATCGAATATTTGAATTTTTTAATGTTTTAGTACTTTGTATTTTTCTTTCGAACGGTTAATGAGAATAAATTGTTTTTGGTGTTCATTGTAAGATAGATTTTCATAAAATATTTACAGATAGCTAACAAGAGAAGATCTCCATGATCAGATCGATGTTGACCCCATCCTCTGGCCACATGAAGATCTCAATGAGACTAGAAAAAGCTAAAAATATTTCGTGTCCACCGTCCTTCCTTGTCGAAATATCAGATTTTTACTCGCTGCATAATAAGAACTACTGTTTTATCAATGTTTTTTCTTTTTCACCCTCTGTAAGGCGTTGAACAACCAAAACGT